AATTCCGTATTGTACTCATTATCTCCGTACTCCGATTTGATTCCGTATTGTACTCATTATCTTTCCGTACTCCGATCAAAATCCGTATTGTATTCATTAATTTCCGTACTCGTTGAAATCCGTATTGTAATCATTATTTTCCGTATTCCGAGTTGATTCCGACTAATCATATCCTGTTTTTTCCTCTGTATTTAACCACAGGGCGGACTCGTTGTAATATTAATCCTTTTCCTTTCCTTTATATTTTTACTCTAGGGCGGACCCATTGTAATCACCACGAGATCCCTTGTATTAGTTCCTGAATAAACCTCGTTCATATCAATTTTCACCTCTAAATACCTGTCCGACTTATTTCCGATCCTCCCAAGCGATTGACTCTACTGAGTAATTAAGATCTTGTCCTCCTTTCCTCCCGACGGCCCTGGAGCTGAGCATATTCAGCAAATAGGAGGAACGGAGGATCCCTTTTTTCCGATACACAGCACGTCAAAACACCGACCGAAAGAACGCTAGCTCTTCCGACCGATTAGTCAGAACCGCGCGTCTGATTAAGTTCCGCGAAGCATAAACGGATTTCGGAATCCCGTCCGAAATCCGGAGACCAGAACCGGGGAGAGCAAGGCGGGCTATCGTTACATGGCGCCCGAACAGGGACCTGCTGTGTAAGAATTGTATAAAGTTTTTATAGATAGATCGCTTGGAGGGAGGATAAGTCTGTTACAGCTAGGTAGAATCCGAAACTCCGCGTGGAAATACCGTTTAGGAACCGTGAATAGAGTCTTCCCCCGATAAGCAGAATGGTGACCGCTACGCGAGTATCATGGGTATATGCCCTATCGAAGGATCGAGTGCAGCTCGAACTAATCGAGAAAGAAGTGGATTCCGAAGGACATCTGGCCACCCTACGACAGAGATTGGTGGCTTACATTCGATCGCACCCGGAGGAATACCAAGACAAACCAGAGGATGACCCTGGTTATAATGAGGAGATAGACCGAACCCGTGACATGGAAAGAATGCAAACCGAGCTGAACCAACTCCGGCAAGCTCAACAAATACAAGTCGAGTTGGACCAACTCAGACGTATCCGACATTCCACCCCGGCGAATGACGATACCAGACCAAACGAGACAAAGATCCTTGAACAAATGCGGAAGTGGAACTGTCATTTTGACGGGCGGGACCTATATACCTTCCTGGAAAGGATAGAAGAGTTGCAACGTGCTTACGCACTAACAGACGAGCAATTATTGAAAGGGTTTCCGGAGTTGCTCCGTGGCGAAGCACAGTTATGGTTCAGAAACTTCCAGACGACCTATCCCACCCTCAAGGAATTAATAGCCGGCCTGAGGAGTTTTTATTTGGCGCCGGGCGAGTTACGAAATCTAGATCGCCAAATAAACGATAGAAAGCAAGGCGGTACCGAGAAAATCCGTCCGTTCACCACCGCCATAATGACTCTTATTCGCCGCCGAGGGGATTACACTCCGGACCAACAACTCGACGTCATCTATTATAACACGCGAGCGGAATACAGGATGTATATTCCCAGGTCAACCGTACAGAACGTGACCGAGTTGATTCAAAAAATTGAAGAATTGGAAGAGACCAAACGGCAGCTGGAGAGCGAGAAGCCCCGAAGTAAGCCAGAAATCAGGAAGTCTGTACCACAGCCGCGAACATCATTAGCCACGGCGTACGACCGAAATACTTGCTGTTGGAGGTGTAAACAAAGAGGCCACAGTCGCTTCCGATGCCAGAACCCCGTTAAAAAGTTCTGCTCCTACTGTGGCACCGATGGCAGACTGACGAAGGAGTGCCAGTGTCAGAAGGCGGGAAACGCAAAGGGGGCCGGCGATTTAGCAAGTCAGGACCGGCCCACACAAAACTAATAACGATCGGGGAAAACCGACCATTCTTAACTGTGAAGATCGGGAAAAGTAAATGCACCGCGCTCATTGATACGGGGTCCGTGAATTCATACTGCAGCGAAGAGACGGCCGAGATCTGTCGCCAAGCCGGATGGCGCCAGCAAAAGGATCACCGCGTCGCAGTCCTGGCCGACGGGACCGAAACCGCCCTGAAGACCAGATTGACAGGGGGTTGTAGCACCATGGGCATTTCCACGGAGCAGACGCTCCTATTAATGAAGAACTTAAGCCACGATATCCTGCTGGGCATGGATGCCCTAAACAAACTCGGGATTAAGATCTGCCTCACTGGAGAAGGGATCCATAACGTAGGGGACAGGACGGGCGTCAGTTTCGTGGAGAATCCAGGCGGGCTCACGCATTTAAGAAGGGCCGAGAAAACCAGACTCGATGCCTTCCTGAAAGCCGAGATGGAGAGATTCGGGGACATCCAGGGAAGCACTCCCCTCATCCAACACGAAATCAAGTTGGAAGATCCATCGCCTATCAAACAGCGATATAGACCGAGGAACCCGGCGATGCAGAAGATTATCGAGGAAGAGGTAGAGAAGATGCTGGAAGAAGGAGTGATAAGATCTTCAACCAGTCCCTGGAGCTCTCCTATTGTCGTCGTTCAGAAAAAAGACGGCAGACCGCGTCTATGTATAGACTATAGGAAATTGAATAAAGTCACCCGGAAGGATGCTTACCCATTGCCGCAAATCAACGCGACATTGGATAAGCTACGAGGGGCTAGATACTTGTCGACAATCGACTTAAAGAATGGGTATTGGCAAGTACCCCTGACACCAGAAAGTAAACCTTTGACCGCCTTTACCGTCGCGGGGAAAGGTTTATTTGAGTTTAACGTAATGCCTTTTGGCTTACATTCCGCACCTGCTACATTCCAGCGGTTATTGGACCAGGTGATTACGCCGGAACTGCTCCCAAACGCCTTCGCCTATTTAGATGACATCGTCATAATGTCGAAGACGTTCGACGAGCACCTCGAAACGCTGAAAACTGTCTTTGAGCGACTAAGGAACGCCAAGCTCAAACCGAACCCGGAAAAGTGCCAGTTCGCCCGATCGAAATTAAAATACCTCGGACACGTTGTTGATCATAACGGCTTGCATGCCGATCCGGACAAGACCGCCGCCGTATTAAATCTCACGCCGCCCAGGAACGTTAAGGAGATCCAGCGCTTCATGGGATTAATATCCTGGTACCGACGTTTCCTGAAGGACGTGTCCAGTGTCGCCGCCCCGTTACACCGCCTCCTGCGCAAAAAAGCAAAGTGGGAATGGTCCGAAACGCAACAAGCCGCATTTGACGAAGTGAAGAAGTTACTGACGAATGCTCCAATATTATCCTGTCCAGATTGGAGCCAGACATTCGTCCTCCAGACCGATGCCAGCCAGGAAGGGCTAGGCGCCGCACTTACCCAACAGATACGCGGATCCGAAAGAGTGATCGGATATGCCAGCCGGACACTCACCAGTGCCGAGAAGAATTACTCGGCAACCGAACTAGAATGCCTTGCAATCAAGTGGGGCATCTGGAAATTCCGCGACTATCTGGAGGGGTATCACTTCGTCGTCCTGACGGACCACCACTCGTTAAAATGGTTAAACACCATAGAAAGTCCTACGGGACGACTGGCTCGTTGGACACTCGAATTAGGGCAGTACGACTTCGAGATTCAGTACCGAAGAGGCTCCGATAACCTGCTCGCCGACACGCTATCCAGACAGCCGCTCGAAATCTGTGCAACGGGAGTACCGATGTCCGACTAGTACAGCCGAAAGTACCAAGAGGTACAAGAGCACCCGGAATTAAATCCAGACTACCGTATTGGAGTC